CTGATCTGTGGTCATGGCAGGTACAATCCCAGATGAAGCTAGATCCTCTCCACTTTTTTTGTTTGTTTTTAAAATTCTTCACTAATTATAGCTTCCTTGTCCAGGAACGAAGTCTAGTTTGGGCCCAGACTCCCCTTCAGAATTTCCTTCGTTCTAAAATGAAGAGCAGGAGTCACTGGGTTCTTTTTTTTCCCCTTTCTTTTTAGTTCCTGGATTCCTGAAATTGAAATAGCAAGAGATTAAGTCCCCAAGTCTCAGAAATAGAGTGTGAATTCTGGGTATGGCTCATATGAAATGTTTGGCATAAGCATCTTCATAGTTTAAGGGGCTTCATTTCATTTATGTTTAAAGAGGATATAGCATGCATATTTGTTCAGCAAATATTTACTGACTGCCTGCTCTCTGCTAGGAATTCTGTTAGGCACTGGGGATAAACATTCAAGATCCTGTTCCTGTGGAGTTGACGTTCTAGTTCTGGGGAGGAAACAGATAATCAAACGGTGATGAGTGCTGTAAAGAAAATAAGGTGAGGACTTGTGACTCGAGGGTCAGAGAAGAACTCTTCAAGGAGGTGACATTTTGAGCTGACCCCTGAATGAAGAAAAGGTGCCAGCTATGGAAGGACAGTCCAGGTGAAGGAAGGAGCTGATGCGGAGGTCCTGAGGCCAGTGTGCTGGAACCTGGGGCAGGGAAAGCAGAGGTACAAGACCAAGTGGGAGAAGAAGGCAGGGGCCAGGTTATGCAGAACTTTGAGGACAGGGTGAGGAGTTTGGATTTTATTCTAAGAGTGACTGGGACCGATTCATACTTTAAAATGATCAGTCACACTGGGAGGTGAGAATGGGTGATGGGAGGATAGAGTGGAAGCAGAGAGAGCATTCATATATTTTAATACGTCTTTTCACATTTTAGCATTATTTTGTGTGTATGTGTGCGTGTTTATCATTATTTCCACATTGAGGTGTTTAAGTCATTATCTTGTAACAGCTGTAAGAGGGTCAAAGTCTGGAAATGACTAAAGTGGAACACACCCACCAGGGAATGACCTCATTCAGGATGGAAGCCAGCTTTTATTGTATTAGTATATATCACAACCAGAGTGGTCAGAGAAATCAATTCTGAAGGTCTTTAACTTCCGAGCTTCGTCACCAATTGAGAATCTTCCGTTGGAGTAGAGAATTGAACTAGGAACTGCCGTTCAGGTTGATGAAATAGCACAGATCCAGTGCCTGTTCTTCCACAAGGTGTTGTGCTAAGCCCTGGGAGAAATAAAGATTAAATAGTCTTGGTGCTTGAATGTTACTAGCTTCCATTGACTGGGCTCTGACTCATGGCAACACTGTGTAAGAGAATGAAACATTGCCCAGTCCTGTGCCATCTTCACCATCATTGGCATGTTTGAGTCCAGTTGGACGATATTCTGTTTTGAGTCATAGGAGTTTCACTGGCTGATTTTTGGAATTAGATTGCTAGGCTCTTCTTCCTAGTCTGTCTTAGTCTGAAACCTGTCTACCATAGGTGACACTGCTGGTATTTGAAATACTGGTAGCATAACTTCCAATATCATAGCAACATGCAGGCCACCACAGTACAACAAACTGACAGATGGGTTGTGGGGTGTTTAAATGTCGTTGTTGTTAGGTGCCGTTGAGTTGGTTCCAACTCAGATCAACCCCATGTACAACAGAACGAAACACTGCGCAGCCCTGCACCATCCTCACAATCCTTGCTGTGTTTGAGCCCATTGTTGGAGCTACTGTGTCAGTCCATCTTATTGAGGGTCTTCCTCTTTTTTGCTGACCCTTTACTTGACCAAGCATGATGTTCTTCTGCAGGGATTGATCCCTCCTGACAATACATCCAAAGTCATGAGATGAAGTCTCGTCATCCTTGCTTTGAAGGAGTATTCTTGCTGTACTTCTTCTAAGACAGATTTGTTCATTCTTCTGGCAGTCTGTAGTATAATATTCAGTGTTCTTCACCAACACCGAAATTCAAAGACATCAATTCTTTTTCAGTCTTCCTTGTTCATTGTCCAGCTTTTGCATGCGTATGAGGCAATTGCAAATGCCATGGCTTGGGTCAGGCCCACCTTAGTCCTCAAAGTAACATTCTTGTTTTTTAATTTTGCAGCAGATTTGCCCAATGCAATACATCATTTAATTTCTTGACTGCTGCTTCCGTGGGTGTTGATTGTGGATCCAAACAAAATGAAATCCTTGAGAATGTCAGTCTTTTCTCTGTTTATCATGATACTGCTTATTGGTCCAGTTGTGAGGATTTTTGTTTTCTCTATGTTGAAGTGTAATCCATACTATAGTCTTTGATCTTCATCAGTAAGTGCTTCAAGTCCTCTTCACTTTCAGCAAGCAAGGTTGTGTCATCTGCATATCACAGATGGTTAATGAGTCTTCTAATCATGATGCCACATTCTTCATACAGTCCAGCTTCTCAGATTATTTGCTCAGCATACAGATTGAATAAGTATGGTCAAAGGATAGAACCCTGACTCATACCTTTCCTGGTTTTCAACCCACAGTATCCCCTTGTTCTGTTTGAACAACTGCCAAGTGTTCTATGTACAGGGTTCCACATGAGTACAATTAAGTGTTCTGGAATTCCCATTCTTGGCAGTGTTATCCATAATTTGTTATGACCCGCACAGTCAAATGCCTTGGCATAGTCAGTAAAACACGGGTAAACATTTTTCTGGAATTCTATGCTTTCAGCCAAGATCCATCTGACATCAGCATTGATATCCCTCATTCCACGACTTCTTCTGAGTGTTCCCTATCAGTGTACTGCTGCAACTGTTTTTGAATTATCTTCAGCAAAATTTTACTTTTGTATGATACTAATGATATTATCCAATAATTTCCACATTCTGTTTGATTACCTTTCTTTGAAATGGGCACAAATATAGATCTCTTCCTGTTTGGCCAGGTAGCTGTCTTCCAGATTTCTTGGCATAGATGAGTGAGTGCGTCCAGTGTTGCATCTGTTTGTTGAAACGTCTCAGTTGGTATTTCGTCAATTCCTGGAGCCTTGTTCTTCACCAGTGCCTTCAGTACACCTTGGTCTTCTCCCTTCAGTACCATTGGTTCTTGGTCATATGTTACCTCCTGAAATGGTTGAATGTCGACCAATTCTTTTTGGTGCAGTGACTCTGTGTATTCCTTCCATCTTCTTTTGATGCTTCCTGCATCGTTCAGTATTTTGCCCATAGGATCCTTCAGTATTGCGACTCAGGGCTTGAATTTTTTTCTTCACTTCTTTCAGCTTGGGAAATGTCAAGTGTGTTCTTCCTTTGGTTTTCTAACTCCAGGTCTCTGCACATTTTACCGTAATACTTTGTTTTGTGTTCTCAAGACACCCTTTGAAATCTTCTGTTCAGCTATTTTACTTTGTTTCTTCCGTTTGCTTCAGCTACTGTATGTTCAAGGGCAATTTTCAGAGTCTCTTCTGACGTCTGTTTTGGTCTTTTCTTTCTTTCCTGTCTTTTTAATAACCTTTTGCTTTCTTCACATATGACGTCCTTGATGTCATTCAACAACTCTTATGGTCTTCAGTCATTAGTGTTCAGTGTGTCAAATCTACTCTTGAGATGGTCTCTAAATTCAGGTGGGATATACTCAAGGTCATACTTAAGCTCTCGTGGACTTGTTCTAATTTTCTTCAGCTTCAACTTGAACTTGCATATGAGCAATTGATGGTTTGTTCTGCAGTCAGCCCCTTGCCTTGTTCTGATTTATGATATCCAGCTTCTCCATCGTGTCTTTCCACAGACAGATGGGTGGTGGAGTGTTTAAATAAGGATGCTTAAATTCTGGTAGTAGGCCAAGAGAAAAATGGGTACAACAGGAGAGAATGAAATAACCAAGGTGACATTTATTTCCATTTTGATAGTGTGTGATCAGGTTATGCTTCTTAATTGTGAATCTGGATGAGACCGTCGCAAGCAGAAAATGAGTTCAGGCTGGAATCCGTGTCAAGGAGTTTTGTGTGACCATAGTGTAGTGTGCAGGGAGATGTCATGGAAATAAGACTGGACCGATAGTGTGGGCCAAATTCATGGAAGGCTGGGCCCAGTTGCCTTTATAGTGAAGGCAGTTGGGAGCCTTGGAATGTATTTGAAAGTAATGACATGATGTGATGTGTGTTTCATTTTTAGCAGGGTCTCTGGGTGGCCTAGCAGAGAGTGCTATGGTGGCGGGGGGGCAGGAAAACCAATCAGGAGACTTGCAAAAGATCTGGGCAAGATGTGATAAAGGTTTAAACCAGGACAGAAGGAGGTGGAAGTGAGAGAGATGGGGGAGGCCGAATCAACAGATCTGAGCAACAGGAAGGAGAGCAAGATGCCAAAGATTTTTAACCTTGATTATGGAAGGATGCTCGTGAGTGAGAGGGAACCCTGAGTTTCAGATATTCCTTCTTTACCAGTTTCCCAGTAGCAGAGCCTTATGAACCGTTTGCTGTAGAGTCGATTCTGGCTCATGGCAACCCTGCATGTGTCAGAGCAGAACTGTGCTCCATAGGGTTTTCAATGCTGATTTTTTGAAAGTAGATTGCCAGGCCGTTCTTCCAGTGTGCCTCTGGGTGGACTAGAACTTCAGCCTGTGGGTTAGCAGGGGAGCGCATTAACCATTTGTACCATCCAGGGACTCCAGGTTCTTTTGAGAAGGCTTTTATAGAACCTGGGCCTTGTAATCTGCACCATCTAGCGTAATCCTTGTGTGGTTACCCCTCCACTTTCTTTCTTCCGGCATTCCTGGGAAAGTGAGGCTTCATTCACTTGGTTCTCCAGTCATGGTTAACCAGCAGGACTGAGTAACCACAGTGGAATGTGGCCTATGGCAACTATTATTGCCCCCGGTCATTTAAGTGACAACTCCCTGTTAGAATTCAAAGTGTCCCACGCAGGTTTCCTGTGTCTGAGTCAGCTAGGTGGTCTGGGAGCCGGTCTCCCACTGTCCCGGGAAGTAGGAGTGCTTGTTTGAAGCATGCTGTCTCCTGTCCCAGAGGAACCGCTGCTGCTGGCCGAACTCAAACCCGGGCGCCCCCACCAGTTTGATTGGAAGTCGAGCTGTGAGACCTGGAGCGTTGCCTTCTCCCCTGATGGTTCCTGGTTTGCTTGGTCTCAAGGACACTGCATTGTCAAGCTGATCCCCTGGCCGCTGGAGGAGCAGTTGTAAGTACTCTTACGCCCCGACCCCCAGGGAACCATGGAAGTTTTCATAAAGGGGACTTGGGAGGTTTCCGCATTACTCCCACTCTTTTGTTTTCTCCCTGCCGAAGAACAGGAAAGAGAGAAAATGGCTCAACAGCCCCAAATTCTGTACATGTGAAAGTTAATTCTATTGAGTTTATGTTAGCCCCAAGTAAAACTTTATTTTTTTTTAACAGCTTTATTGAGCTATGTTACATACCATAGTCTGTCCATTTAGTGTATAGTTCATTGAGTTTTTTTTTCTTAGAAATTTTTAAATACTTTGGCTTTTTCGTTTTTTCATTTTAAAAATTTTATTTCTTTTTTTTTATTGTGGTGAAGATACAGGAAATTAGGATTTTATGAAAAAATTTAAAAAATGCAACAAACTTAAGTTTGGAGGTTCCAAGCTGCCTTGCCAAAGGTCTCCCTGTAGCCTGCCTTTTCTTTTTTTTTTTTTGTGAAAATATACACAGCAGAACATACACTCATTCGACAATGTCTGTATGTACAATTCAGTGACATGGGTTACATTCTTCATAGTATGTCACCATTCTTGCTATCTCTATCCATATTGTTTCACCATCATTGACTTAGACTTGTTAGGTGATCTCAAGTCATTTTCGACTCATAGCGACCCCATGTGGCAGAGTAGAACTGCCCCATAGGGTTTTCTAGGCTGTAATCTTTACAGGGAGCTCTGGTGGCACAGTGGTTAAGGGCTCGGCTGCTAATCAAAAGGTCGGCAGTTTGAATCCAGCAGCCACTCGTTGGAAACTCTATGGGGCAGTTCTACCGTGTCCTATAGGGTTGCTATGAGTCAGAATCAACTCAACGACAACCAGTTTGGTTTTTTTTTTTTTTTTTAAATCTTTACAGAAGCAGATTGCCATGTGTTTCTCCCGCAGAGTTGCTGGGTGGGTTTGAACCGCCAGCCTGTCCATTAGTGGCCAAGTGCTTAACCGTTGTGCCACCAGGGCTCCTTGACTTAGACTTACTGTCCCCTAAACTTCTCATCTATGCTTTAGAGTTACTGCTGTCAATTTGTTCTTATATAGATAATTCTTTCAAAGAGTGCATTGCTCAAGGTGTAGCCTGCTTTTTGAGTGCTTCTTGCTGTGATGGCAAACTCGGGGACCTGTGCCAGCTCTAGGCAGGTCTGCACAGTATGTGGCCTGGCAGGGGTGGTTAGTGCTGACCACAAGAGGGAAGGCCCAGCTGAAAGATGTTCACAATTACATTCAGATTGTTTTGCCAGAAAAATTGATTTCCAGATCACATTTGGTCATTTAGACCTGGGATCAGCATACTTTTTCTGCAAAGAGCCAGATGGTAAATGCTTCAGGTTTTGTGGGCCGTAGTGTCTCGGTTGCAGTCCAGTCTCTGTCACGACTACTTAATTCTGCCTTTGTAGCATGAAAACATCCAGACAATAGTAAACAAATGTGTGGCTGTGTTCCAATAAAACTTTATTTACAAAAACAGACTGCTGGCCTGGGCCATAGTTTGCCAGCCTCTGATTTAGCCTAATAGATGTTTAGAGCTGAAGGAACCTGCACTTGCCTTATTTCCTCCTTCTCGTTTTACAGATCAGGGAACTAAGACCTGTATTGGTTAAAATGCTTTCAAACGTTTAAAGCACACAATTGACAAAAATGTGACTTACAACTTTTTGGGAACACATGTAGTGCATAAGGAGGTTCAGTTACATACATGTTGAACATGGATTTCTCATGGAGCCGAATCTGAACTCATCTTGAGATCCAGCTTTATCATCTCCATTTTGTTTTATCTAAATCTCATCACCCTCAGTTTGATATACACCTGAGTGTGGTCAGAGTCACATAGAAAAGTAGGATTTGTTACTGGCATTGATAAAATGTACCACAAACAGAGTAAACTTGTGTTTGAGGAACAACCCCCCGGGCTGGGCTGTTTAGGTGCTCATGTCTTTGAGACATTGTCTGCAAGGTGGGGTGGTGGACAGGGCCCTCCTTCTTAGGGAATGAACCTCACTTAGCTTACCTGGGTGTCTGTTTCACTGTAAGTGGAACATGAAAGGACATGGTGGGCTGAGAGATCTTTCAGGTCAGGTGCACCTCTGAACAGCTGTGGCTGGTTCCTGTGCTAGATGCACCATGAGGGAAGTAAGTGAAAGGGCCTCCTTCCTCATTAATTGAAACTTAGCAGTGAAGGAGGAAATCACATGTACCAAACAACCTGTATTATCAAGAAAGGGATTTATTTTCCAGCTCCTTGGGACTTTCTGAAGGAGCCCTGGTGATGCAGTGGTTAAAGCGCTTGGCTGCTAATTGAGAAGTCGGTGGTTCAGAATTCAGCAACTGCTCCACAGGAGAAAGATGTGGCAGTCTGCTCTATAAAGATTACAGCCTTGTAAATCCTATGGAGCAGATCGGCTCTGTCCTGTAGGGTCGCTACGAGTTGGAATTGATTTGACGGCAGCGGGTTTTTGGCTTTTGGACTTTCTAAGCTAAAGGGGAGATCAGCAGATGGGTATTCAGGCCTTATGTCTGTCCAAATTCCAGACCCACAGTATGCTTGGATCTTTCCTTCCATGCATCAAAACCCAAGAGAGCGTTCTGAACAAACTTATGGGTCCCTGGAGTGTCTGTGAACTAGTTATCCCACAAGACAGGTGAGCCAGGGCCAGTAAAGTCACTGTTACACGACTTCTAAAAAGAAAAGTCACACCACACTTTGTTTCTAGGACTTCAAAGTCTTAGGTAACCCAGGATGGAAGATTAGTTGACCTGGTAACAATTTCAGACTCATTAAGAAATCTCTTCTTCCCTCAGCATCCCTAAAGGGTTTGAAGCCAAAAGCCGAAGCAGCAAAAATGATCCAAAAGGGCGAGGCAGCCCAAAGGAGAAGACCCTGGACTGCGGTCAGATTGTCTGGGGCTTGGCCTTTAGCCCGTGGCCCTCTCCACCCAGTAGGAGACTCTGGGCACGCCACCATCCCCAGGTGCCAGATGTCTCGTGCCTGATCCTTGCCACGGGACTCAACGATGGGCAGATCAAGATTTGGGAGGTGCAAACAGGTAGTCATTTCTGGCTGGCACGAGGTGCTGGGCGGCTCATGTGCGTGTTCTGATCAGGCCCCAGAGGGGCTGCTGGCCCCCAGGTGGCCCAGGGGTAAAGCAGGGCCTGGCAGGCAGGGTGCCACTACTCCCACTGACCACGTGCCTCTGCTCCCACGCTAGGGCTCCAGCTTTTGAACCTTTCCGGCCACCAAGATGTCGTGAGAGATCTGAGCTTCACACCCAGTGGCAGTTTGATTCTGGTGTCTGCGTCGCGGGATAAGACTCTTCGCATCTGGGACTTAAATAAACACGGTAGGGGATGGAACTGCTTGGCAACTTCAGAAATACTCTGTTTGCCCCTTTGCTTCACTTTACCAATGGCTTTTTTTTTATCCCGAGCAGTGTTCCTCAACTTCCTGCACCCCTCTCCGACCATTATCACTTCCTAAGGAGGCTTTTTAGATATTTTTTCTTATTCACCACCCCTCATGAGATTTTATTTTATTTTATTTTTTATATTTTATTGTACTTCAGGTGAAGGCTTACAGAACAAATAGTTTCTCATGAAACAGTAGTACACATGTTGTT